TATATTTAAATTTCATACAGGGATTACAGAGAAGTTCTCAGTTTGTAATAACGTATTCTTCAGCGAAAAGTGTTAACCTTTTTTTTGTTCGTTTGTTTTGTTTTTGATAGCTGCTTTTGATAGCAGGGATGACGAAAGGTACAGGGAACGAAAGCCTCAAAAATGAAAAAGCATTTTCATTGAATGTATTTGAAAACAAGAACATTATTCTAAATTGTACCAGTGTGATTTTACTTCAGAGACCGGTTCAGCATTGTAGTAACTAGGGGGGCCCGCAACATCATGGGGGACAAATGGGCCATTTATCCCAGACATGTAGAGGTTGGGGGGTCTAGGGGATCGACTGATATGTAATACGAGTATCTAATCAAACTATGTTGGTGAAAATGTACAGTACTGTGCAAAAATCTAGGCACCCTTTTTTAGTACAGCCTGTACAGGATTTTGTGGATTATTTGTTGTTCTTCTTGTGACTATTGTGGGAAAAAAATATTTGATTTTGCTGCGGGTTTTTTTGTTTTGGGTTTTTTTCCCCAAAAAATTTGCAATGCAATATGTGGATTTTTCTTGCTCCTATTTTTGCGGAAAACTACTTGAATGGCTAACTTCCAAGCGATCTAACACCAAAATAGCTTTTATTTGATATGTTTGTGAGATCGGTTGTGATATGGTTGCGAGCTTCCTCGTTCCTCGCCTCCTCGCGGTGAAATGAGAGAATTGAGATGTCCTTCAAGATGGTTGACTTCGATCGATTTCCGGGTCACGGGCTAGAGGACGGCGGAGCGAGAAAACGAGGACGCATCATTAAATTTCAATATAAATCTTTCAACGGTGTACTGGCCCTTTAATTCAGCGAGGGTGGGGTGGGGGTGGGGTGGGGGTGGGGTTTGGGGGATTGACTTGATGCCGAAATTTCTGTAAAAAATTCGCGGTGCAGAGATGACAGACATTACAAACTGCAGTTTTGTCATCTTTAAACACAATAGACATCATCTTTACACACAGCACGAAATCGATGTGTTTTCCCGCCCGCTTTTGATTGACAGGATATAATCGGCCCTGATCATAGGTTGTTGCTCCAGGTGAGGCTCAAACTCTCAACCTCAGCATTGTATCACCTGTACTGCAATAAGTACCGCAATCATGTCCCACGTTATTTTATTTGCCCCAATCCAGCTACTCTTATGTTTTGGGAGGTGGGACGAAACCGTGTTTAATGAACATGTAGTTCTTCCAACTCACAATCCAGCACACTACATCCACAATCATTAAGTGAAGTTGTGTTCTTTATATGCAGTGGAGGCTGGGATTAAAATCTATGCTCCAGGTGAGGCTCGAACTCACAACCTCAGCATTGCTTCACCTGTACTGCTGTATAAGTACCACGCACTGACCGATTGCGCCACTGGAGCCCTGACTTATTGTAATTGTGATGAATTTATTGGGTTTCATCTAGGTTGTCTGGTTTCTTCAGACGTACCAGAAACAGGTATTATATCGATTGGTTAGTCCTGTGTCAAATGGCCTTGATAGTCCATCCATCCATCCATCCGTCTTCTATACCGCTTATCCTTTTCAGGGTCACAGGGAAAACTTTAGCCTATCCCAGGGAGTATCGGGCACAACGCGGGGTAAACCCTAGACAGGGTGCCAGTGTCCTTTATAGTTTATTTTAAATCATATTTAGTCTACCTAATTCTGTTTTTTTTAGTCAAGTTTTAGTTGACTAAAAGTCTGGGCATTTTGTTATATTTTCTGTATGACGTATTTATTGTTCTCTTTATTGAACCACATGACTTCGGAGCAACTGCATCTCATTTCCCTGCACTTTTTTACCTGCTACTAAAGGGCATGTGACAAACAAATCTCGAAACTCACATTTGTTCACACCTGTTTAAGAACATAATTGTAGATTGTGCATTAATGTTCAGAAAAGACATTGTTGTGTTTCATGTGATTCCTCCAGGTTCTCTGCTTTCCGTTCTCCTGCCAAAAACATGCAGGTAGGTAGACTGTGCGTGCAAAATTGTCCCAGAGATGTGAAGGATTGTGTTTTATTGTGTGTCCCTGCCTCATGCCTACAGTTCCCAGGATCCACCACAGAAAGAACCAATATAAAGTGATTAATAAACTTATCATTCCAACTCACAACATCTGTAATCATTAAGCAAGATTGTGCTATTTATATGCATATTGCAGTATAATATGGACACACTGAGAGTTTGGAGTGTGTTTCAAATCTTGCTCCAGGTGAGGCTCGAACTCACAACCAAAAACAACCATCCTAGGTTTCATCTAGGTTGTCTAGATTCCTCAGATTGGGTTTCCTCAAGTGTACAGGGTACGCTGGCACGTCTTCCCCGCTCCCTGTCACTGTTTTGTTTGTTTTCATTTATTTATTTAAGTCATATTGTTTTAAATAACAGTGAGTCATTTATGTCATATTGTTCTCAGTGCCCCTACGGTTGTGATTTGGTGGTGCCATTTTATATACTTTGGACTGTTGTCTTTACTTTGGCATGTTTTTGGAAGTTGGGAGGCAACCAGAGAACTCTTAATTGTATAGTTAGAGCCTGGGACCCTGGAGCTGGTTGTGCTCTTCATATTCATATTGAAGTATAATTCTGGCCACACTGAAAGTCATCCTTAGGTAATACTATGGTTGTAGGCTGCTCTTAGGGTCTGTGCTTCAGATGAGGCTCAAACTCTCAACCTCAGCATTGTATCACCTGTACTGCTTATAAGTACCGCAATCATGTCCCACTCAGTCCTTCACACACTTTTAGTAGGTGATTTATCTTAATCAGGGCTTGTGGTGGACCAAGAACCTTTTCCAGAAACACTAGGTGTGAGGTGGGGATATACTCTGGAAGCAGTGCACACATTCACATCCAAGTTATTTTATTAGCCCCCATCCAGCTACTCTTATGTTTTGGGAGGTGGGACGAAACTGTGTGTAATGAACATGTAATTCTTCCAACTCACAACCCAGCACACTACATCCATGTTGTTTTTTACTCTAGCTTTAGTTAACTAAAAGTCTGCGTTTGTTGCTCCAGGTGAGGCTCGAACTCACAACCTCGGCATTGCTTCACCTGTACTGCCTTATAAGTACCGTGCGCTGACCGATTGCGCCACTGGAGCCCTGACTGATTGTAATTGTGATGAATTGATTGGGTTTCATCCAGGTTGTCTGGTTTCTTCAGACGTACCAGAAACAGGTATTATATCGATTGGTTAGTCCTGTGTCAAATGTCCTTGATAGTCCATCCATCCATCCATCCGTCTTCTATACCGCTTATCCTTTTCAGGGTCACGGGGAAAACTTTAGCCTATCCCAGGGAGTATCGGGCACAACGCGGGGTACACCCTAGACAGGGTGCCAGAGTCCTTTATAGTTTATTTTAAATCATATTTAGTCTACCTAATTCTGTTTTTTTTAGTCAAGTTTTAGTTGACTAAAAGTCTGGGCATTTTGTTATATTTTCTGTATGACGTATTTATTGTTCTCTTTATTGAACCACATGACTTCGGAGCAACTGCATCTCATTTCCCTGCACTTTTTTACCTGCTACTAAAGGGCATGTGACAAACAAATCTCGAAACTCACATTTGTTCACACCTGTTTAAGAACATAATTGTAGATTGTGCATTAATGTTCAGAAAAGACATTGTTGTGTTTCATGTGATTCCTCCAGGTTCTCTGCTTTCCGCTCTCCTGCCAAAAACATGCAGGTAGGTAGACTGAGCGTGCAAAATTGTCCCACATATGTGAAGGATTGTGTTTTATTGTGTGTCCCTGACTCACTCCGTTCCCAGGATCCACCACCAAAAAAGAACCAATATAAAGTGATGAATAAACTTATCATTCTTCCAACTCACAACATGCATAATCATTAAGAGAGATGGTGCTATTTATGTGCATATTGCATTATAACCTGGACACACTGAAAGTTTGGAGTGTGTCTCAAATCTTGCTCCAGGTGAGGCTCGAACTCACAACCACGGCATTGCTTCACCTGTACTGCCTTATAAGTACCGTGCGCTGACCGATTACGCCACTGGAGCGTGGTGAGGCTCATGGATTGTGTGGGTTTCATATATATTGTTTTAAATAACAGTGAGTCATTTATGTCATATTGTTCTCAGTGCCCTACGGTTGTGATGTGGTGGTGCCATTTTATATACTTTGGACTGTTGTCTTTACTTTGGCATGTTTTTGGAAGTTGGGAGGCAAGAAGACACTCTGAATTGTATAGTTAGAGCCTGGGACCATGGAGCTGGTTGTGCTCTTCATATTCATATTGAAGTATAATTCTGGCCACACTGAAAGTCATCCTTAGGTAATACTATGGCTGTAGGCTGCTCTTAGGGTCTGTGCTTCAGATGAGGCTCAAATTCTCAACCTCAGCATTGTATCACCTGTACTGCTTATAAGTAAAATGGTAAATGTGCACTTATATAGCGCTTTTATCCAAAGCACTTTATACTGTGTCTCATTTACCCATTCACACACCAATGGTAGCAGAGCTGCCATGAAAGGCACTAGCTTGCCATCAGGAGCAACTTGGGGTTCAGTGTTTTGCCCAAGGACACTTTGGCATGTGGAGTCACCCGGACCAGGAATAGAACCACCAACCCTACGATTAGTGTACTACTCTACCAACTGCGCCCCATACCGCAATCCGCAATCATGTCCCACTCAGTCCTTTACACACTTTTAGTAGGTGATTTATCTTAATCAGGGCTTGTGGTGGACCAAGAACCTTTTCCAGAAACACTAGGTGTGAGGTGGGGATATACTCTGGAAGCAGTGCACACATTCACACCCAAGTTATTTTATTTTCCCCAATCCAGCTACTCTCATGTTTTGGGAGGTGGGACGAAACTGTTGTTAATGAACATGTAACTCTTCCAACTCACAACCCAGCACACTACATCCATAATCATTAAGTGAAGTTGTGTTCTTTATATGCAGTGGAGGCTGGGATTAAAATCTATGCTCCAGGTGAGGTTTGAACTCCCAACTTCGGCATAGCTTCACCTGTACTGCTGTATAAGTACCGTGCGCTGACCGATTGCGCCACTGGAGCCCTGACTTATTGTAATTGTGATGAATTTATTGGGTTTCATCTAGGTTGACTGGTTTCTTCAGACGTACCAGAAACAGGTATTATATCGATTGGTTAGTCCTGTGTCAAATGTCCTTGATAGTCCATCCATACATCCATCCGTCTTCTATACCGCTTATCCTTTTCAGGGTCACGGGGAAAACTTTAGCCTATCCCAGGGAGTATCGGGCACAACGCGGGGTACACCCTAGACAGGGTGCCAGTGTCCTTTATAGTTTATTTTAAATCATATTTAGTCTACCTAATTCTGTTTTTTTTAGTCAAGTTTTAGTTGACTAAAAGTCTGGGCATTTTGTTATATTTTCTGTATGACGTATTTATTGTTCTCTTTATTGAACCACATGACTTCGGAGCAACTGCATCTCATTTCCCTGCACTTTTTTACCTGCTACTAAAGGGCATGTGACAAACAAATCTCGAAACTCACATTTGTTCACACCTGTTTAAGAACATAATTGTAGATTGTGCATTAATGTTCAGAAAAGACATTGTTGTGTTTCATGTGATTCCTCCAGGTTCTCTGCTTTCCGTTCTCCTGCCAAAAACATGCAGGTAGGTAGACTGTGCGTGCAAAATTGTCCCAGAGATGTGAAGGATTGTGTTTTATTGTGTGTCCCTGCCTCATGCCTACAGTTCCCAGGATCCACCACAGAAAGAACCAATATAAAGTGATTAATAAACTTATCATTCCAACTCACAACATCTGTAATCATTAAGCAAGATTGTGCTATTTATATGCATATTGCAGTATAATATGGACACACTGAGAGTTTGGAGTGTGTTTCAAATCTTGCTCCAGGTGAGGCTCGAACTCACAACCAAAAACAACCATCCTAGGTTTCATCTAGGTTGTCTAGATTCCTCAGATTGGGTTTCCTCAAGTGTACAGGGTACGCTGGCACGTCTTCCTGCCGCTCCTGTCACTGTTTTGTTTGTTTTCATTTATTTATTTAAGTCATATTGTTTTAAATAACAGTGAGTCATTTATGTCATATTGTTCTCAGTGCCCCTACGGTTGTGATTTGGTGGTGCCATTTTATATACTTTGGACTGTTGTCTTTACTTTGGCATGTTTTTGGAAGTTGGGAGGCAACCAGAGAACTCTTAATTGTATAGTTAGAGCCTGGGACCCTGGAGCTGGTTGTGCTCTTCATATTCATATTGAAGTATAATTCTGGCCACACTGAAAGTCATCCTTAGGTAATACTATGGTTGTAGGCTGCTCTTAGGGTCTGTGCTTCAGATGAGGCTCAAACTCTCAACCTCAGCATTGTATCACCTGTACTGCTTATAAGTACCGCAATCATGTCCCACTCAGTCCTTCACACACTTTTAGTAGGTGATTTATCTTAATCAGGGCTTGTGGTGGACCAAGAACCTTTTCCAGAAACACTAGGTGTGAGGTGGGGATATACTCTGGAAGCAGTGCACACATTCACATCCAAGTTATTTTATTAGCCCCCATCCAGCTACTCTTATGTTTTGGGAGGTGGGACGAAACTGTGTGTAATGAACATGTAATTCTTCCAACTCACAACCCAGCACACTACATCCATGTTGTTTTTTACTCTAGCTTTAGTTAACTAAAAGTCTGCGTTTGTTGCTCCAGGTGAGGCTCGAACTCACAACCTCGGCATTGCTTCACCTGTACTGCCTTATAAGTACCGTGCACTGACCGATTGCGCCACTGGAGCCCTGACTGATTGTAATTGTGATGAATTTATTGGGTTTCATCCAGGTTGTCTGGTTTCTTCAGACGTACCAGAAACAGGTATTATATCGATTGGTTAGTCCTGTGTCAAATGTCCTTGATAGTCCATCCATCCATCCATCCGTCTTCTATACCGCTTATCCTTTTCAGGGTCACGGGGAAAACTTTAGCCTATCCCAGGGAGTATCGGGCACAACGCGGGGTACACCCTAGACAGGGTGCCAGTGTCCTTTATAGTTTATTTTAAATCATATTTAGTCTACCTAATTCTGTTTTTTTTAGTCAAGTTTTAGTTGACTAAAAGTCTGGGCATTTTGTTATATTTTCTGTATGACGTATTTATTGTTCTCTTTATTGAACCACATGACTTCGGAGCAACTGCATCTCATTTCCCTGCACTTTTTTACCTGCTACTAAAGGGCATGTGACAAACAAATCTCGAAACTCACATTTGTTCACACCTGTTTAAGAACATAATTGTAGATTGTGCATTAATGTTCAGAAAAGACATTGTTGTGTTTCATGTGATTCCTCCAGGTTCTCTGCTTTCCGCTCTCCTGCCAAAAACATGCAGGTAGGTAGACTGAGCGTGCAAAATTGTCCCACATATGTGAAGGATTGTGTTTTATTGTGTGTCCCTGACTCACGCCTACAGTTCCCAGGATCCACCACAAAAAGAACCAATATAAAGTGATGAATAAACTTATCATTCTTCCAACTCACAACATGCATAATCATTAAGAGAGATGGTGCTATTTATGTGCATATTGCATTATAACCTGGACACACTGAAAGTTTGGAGTGTGTCTCAAATCTTGCTCCAGGTGAGGCTCGAACTCACAACCTCGGCATTGCTTCACCTGTACTGCCTTATAAGTACCGTGCGCTGACCGATTACGCCACTGGAGCGTGGTGAGGCTCATGGATTGTGTGGGTTTCATATATATTGTTTTAAATAACAGTGAGTCATTTATGTCATATTGTTCTCAGTGCCCCTACGGTTGTGATGTGGTGGTGCCATTTTATATACTTTGGACTGTTGTCTTTACTTTGGCATGTTTTTGGAAGTTGGGAGGCAACCAGAGAACTCTGAATTGTATAGTTAGAGCCTGGGACCATGGAGCTGGTTGTGCTCTTCATATTCATATTGAAGTATAATTCTGGCCACACTGAAAGTCATCCTTAGGTAATACTATGGTTGTAGGCTGCTCTTAGGGTCTGTGCTTCAGATGAGGCTCAAATTCTCAACCTCAGCATTGTATCACCTGTACTGCTTATAAGTAAAATGGTAAATGTGCACTTATATAGCGCTTTTATCCAAAGCACTTTATACTGTGTCTCATTTACCCATTCACACACCAATGGTAGCAGAGCTGCCATGAAAGGCACTAGCTTGCCATCAGGAGCAACTTGGGGTTCAGTGTTTTGCCCAAGGACACTTTGGCATGTGGAGTCACCCAGACCGGGAACAGAACCACCAACCCTACGATTAGTGTACTACTCTACCAACTGCGCCCCATACCGCAATCCGCAATCATGTCCCACTCAGTCCTTTACACACTTTTAGTAGGTGATTTATCTTAATCAGGGCTTGTGGTGGACCAAGAACCTTTTCCAGAAACACTAGGTGTGAGGTGGGGATATACTCTGGAAGCAGTGCACACATTCACACCCAAGTTATTTTATTTTCCCCAATCCAGCTACTCTCATGTTTTGGGAGGTGGGACGAAACTGTTGTTAATGAACATGTAACTCTTCCAACTCACAACCCAGCACACTACATCCATAATCATTAAGTGAAGTTGTGTTCTTTATATGCAGTGGAGGCTGGGATTAAAATCTATGCTCCAGGTGAGGTTTGAACTCCCAACTTCGGCATAGCTTCACCTGTACTGCTGTATAAGTACCGTGCGCTGACCGATTGCGCCACTGGAGCCCTGACTTATTGTAATTGTGATGAATTTATTGGGTTTCATCTAGGTTGACTGGTTTCTTCAGACGTACCAGAAACAGGTATTATATCGATTGGTTAGTCCTGTGTCAAATGTCCTTGATAGTCCATCCATACATCCATCCGTCTTCTATACCGCTTATCCTTTTCAGGGTCACGGGGAAAACTTTAGCCTATCCCAGGGAGTATCGGGCACAACGCGGGGTACACCCTAGACAGGGTGCCAGTGTCCTTTATAGTTTATTTTAAATCATATTTAGTCTACCTAATTCTGTTTTTTTTAGTCAAGTTTTAGTTGACTAAAAGTCTGGGCATTTTGTTATATTTTCTGTATGACGTATTTATTGTTCTCTTTATTGAACCACATGACTTCGGAGCAACTGCATCTCATTTCCCTGCACTTTTTTACCTGCTACTAAAGGGCATGTGACAAACAAATCTCGAAACTCACATTTGTTCACACCTGTTTAAGAACATAATTGTAGATTGTGCATTAATGTTCAGAAAAGACATTGTTGTGTTTCATGTGATTCCTCCAGGTTCTCTGCTTTCCGTTCTCCTGCCAAAAACATGCAGGTAGGTAGACTGTGCGTGCAAAATTGTCCCAGAGATGTGAAGGATTGTGTTTTATTGTGTGTCCCTGCCTCATGCCTACAGTTCCCAGGATCCACCACAGAAAGAACCAATATAAAGTGATTAATAAACTTATCATTCCAACTCACAACATCTGTAATCATTAAGCAAGATTGTGCTATTTATATGCATATTGCAGTATAATATGGACACACTGAGAGTTTGGAGTGTGTTTCAAATCTTGCTCCAGGTGAGGCTCGAACTCAAAACCCAAAAACAACCATCCTAGGTTTCATCTAGGTTGTCTAGATTCCTCAGATTGGGTTTCCTCAAGTGTACAGGGTACGCTGGCACGTCTTCCTGCCGCTCCTGTCACTGTTTTGTTTGTTTTCATTTATTTATTTAAGTCATATTGTTTTAAATAACAGTGAGTCATTTATGTCATATTGTTCTCAGTGCCCCTACGGTTGTGATTTGGTGGTGCCATTTTATATACTTTGGACTGTTGTCTTTACTTTGGCATGTTTTTGGAAGTTGGGAGGCAACCAGAGAACTCTTAATTGTATAGTTAGAGCCTGGGACCCTGGAGCTGGTTGTGCTCTTCATATTCATATTGAAGTATAATTCTGGCCACACTGAAAGTCATCCTTAGGTAATACTATGGTTGTAGGCTGCTCTTAGGGTCTGTGCTTCAGATGAGGCTCAAACTCTCAACCTCAGCATTGT